CACACACACACACACACACACACACACACACACACACACACACACACACACACACACACACACACACAGATCCTCTATCAGCAGCGCAAAGCAATAGCCTGAAATATGAGCTTGAAGTAAAAGAGCACCAATCAGCTTCCACCAATCGCTGGTCAGACCTTACCATTAATAGTCCCAAGCCCTTGCGTCCGACCGCCGGTGCCACCTAAATAACTGAACAACCTTCTTTACAGATATCCTCCATAGCCAAGCAGCAGTGCAGGTGAACGAGACTCTCCCCCAAGTCTGTTATCGTTAGCTCTCAACAATAAATCCATCATCCTGGTGGCATCTACTCCTGTCCAAAGATGTTCTCTGCCTTGAAGGAAGCTTTCAAGCCGGCTGGCCATTGAGCCCTTCCTTCAGCTGGTAGGCCCAGGCACAAGCGGATGTCAATGCCCACGCCTATAGAAGCTTTTTTGGTCGTGATTGTTCCCAATAGGTGCTTCTAACAGGTCCGATACCATGTATCTGGCCTACAAGATATATTCAACTCTGGTCAGCAGCTTTAGTCTTGGAATGGGCCTTGCACACTGCAAAAACCGCAGGGCTTGCACAGTAGATAGCCAGACAGGAGAGCAGGAGACGAGAAAGTCAGAAAGCAGACAGGCAAGCGAAGAGAAAGAGATACGCCGAATGGCCGGACAGCACCACCAAGCTGGACGCCAGACAAATGGATAGAGAGACAGACAGACAGACAGACAGACAGACAGACAGACAGACAGACAGACAAGTGCACAGGTGGAAAGGAAGACGCAAAGATGGGCAGGTGGATGCAGAGGAAGGCGCAAAGATGGGCAGGTTCATGCAAAGAATGACAAGCGGTTAGGCTTCCGGACAGACAGGCAGGAAGTCAGCCAGCCAGATAGTAAAGGCAGGAAAGGGAGGGCATAAAGTAGGCAGGGAACCAACGGGGCCTAGCCCAGTTGGTACACCCACAAACTGTTGAAATACAGATCCAAGTTCGAATCGGGATACAATCAGATGACCAGAGTAAAATAATTCTGAATTGCCTGAGGCCAGTCAATTCAATGATAATATCTTAAACCACCAGTACTTGGCCCATACATCGGCCGCGGGCATTTCCTGTTAACGCGCCACGACTGATGGGCTTCGGGCTACCGGAGCACAATGCCTGGAGGCGCCAGCCAAAAGAAAACCGAAACGACGCGGCAGCGGCTCGGCAAAACTTGGCGCGCAGGGCGTTTCCCGGCTCAGCATGAATAGCTGGCCCAAGTACTGGTGATTTAAGGCCGTCGCCCTTTACAAAAATAAAAAACAAAGAGAAAGAAGGGGAGAGGAAAAAGAGAAGGAAAAAAAGAAAAAAAAGTAGGCAGGGAGGATGTCAGAGACAGCCAGAGAGGAAAGGCAGGAAGGGAGGTCATAAGATAGGCGGGTGGGTGGCCGGATGGGAAGAAAAGGAAAGGGACTCCTACTGACCCTTATCGACATGTAAGGCGGCCCTACCATTAAGCCGCCAGTACCTTTCCCAGCTACTTTCCTGAGACACGCCGGGTAACGCGGGGGCCGAAAGGGGGAGGGCCGCCGTCGGTAAATCGAATCGGCGGCCCGTATTTCGTTTCGGCCTTCCGAAACTGCCCGCATCCAACATATGGGAAAGCTACTGGTGGTTTAATCACGTAAACTGCTGTGTTCAGGAGACCTGATGATGTCTAAAATCTAGATTATCCATTCTGGAATTCCACGAGGCAGTGAGGTGTGCAGACATGCAGCCAAACAAACATTACTCTGTACAGAAGACCTCTTCATGCCTTGAACGCACATTCTATAATGTGCATAAGGGGCAGGAAGGGAAGCAGACATGCAGGCATTTAGGTAAATGGGCAAGGACGGCACTCCTACCCCTGCAGACATGCCGTGGAAGGTAACCCTACCGCTTGCCGTGCTCATTTCTCAGTTCAGAGGACTGTTCGTGTCTAGATCTTATATTCTGTAATTTCATAAAGGCAGGAAGCCAAGCAGACATGCAGGCAGACATGCAGTCCTTCAGGACATCAATTAGAATTGGAATGATACAGAGAAGATTAGCATGGCCCCTGTGCAAGGATGACAAGGGGGGGGGGGGGGGGGGGGGGGGGGGGGAGGGGGGGGAAGAAGAAGGAAAAAGGTGCAGGCACACATGCAGGCAGACATGCAGGCAGACTTGCAAGCAGACATGCAGGCAGACAGACAAATTAGCACACACGTAGACTTTAAAGAACATTCAAGGCATGCATACAGGAGGAAGCATGACATGGTTGCTTCGCGTTAAGCAACATACTCTCATTAGTTATTTTCTCGGATATATCTCGCACAAAATACCGTTCATAGTTAGTTGAGAATATCTGGAGGCGTTTTGTTCTTGATTTGCAATAAAGGGATCCTCTGTTTTTCCCAAAAAAAAAAGAAAAAAAGAATATCTGGGTGTGACTGTGGCCTAACTTTCTCGACAGGTGGGTGCAGGCAGGTTTGTGCTTTCAAACAGCACTCGTCTATCTCTGAAAGTCCCGCTAGCTTTCGAAATCCTGGCTACGACCATGGAAGTAGGAAAGCCTTGCTTGCTGACTTTTAAAATTCCCGTTAGAACTTAAACCACCAGGACCTCCGAGCCTCTTTTCCCAACCCGGATCTCCGCCGCGCACCTATGTTTGTAGAGCCTGCGTGAGCAGAAAATCAATCTTTGTTTGCTGATGCCCCAACCTTTCTACGTAAGGCCAAAGTAGAGCCGGCGTGAGCAGAAAATCAATCTTTGTTTGCTGATGCCGCCAACCTTTCTACGTAAGGCCAAACACCCAAAAACGGTGGTTGCAGACAAACACGTCGAAACCTAGGCTACCAGAGTGGCCCGGGGTCACTTGCCCGGCCGGGCCAAAAATAAATAGATAAATAAATAAAATGTTTTTAAATTAATTTTTTTATTTTAAATTTTGTCAAGAATTCCGATGTGACCCTGAGGCAAAAGTTGTTCAGTTTATTTTTCTGCATAACATAGGTTTTTTTTAATTTGTCTTTTTTTTTTTCATTTTTTATTTTTTTTTTTGCTGGGACCTTCCCTGCTCCTTGCACGGGCTGCCCCCCCGGGACCCGGCGGCCCGGCTGGTAGCCTAGGTCGAAACAAAACGGCTGGGAGAGGTACTGGTGGTTAAAAACACATGCATGCTTGATTGCACACGAAAGCCTGCTTTCCAAAAATCCACGTTGTTGTTGAAATGGATGGTGCTAATTTGTCAATTGCTCAAGCAGCTGCTACTTTAGCCGCATATAAATTGTGTTCGTCCACCAAGTTTGTCCAATGGTCGTAATTAGCTCAGAGTCAATCAATGCAAAACACAAAAACAAATAAATAACAGTGAAAAAAAAAAAGGCTCGGAGCTGTCAGTTCACTTAGACAATTTCCTGATGGGTGCATGGAACCAACACCACCAAGGACACCATGGAACGACCACCTTTCCCCAAATAGAAAGCACGGTCCCAAATAGAGCTATATTGACTGTGCGGAGCTATATTGACTGTGCGTTCGACTACCCTCTTCACCCAAATAGAACGCCCGGTCATTATAGCCGTATGTGGTGCAATTTTCAGTCCAGATACCGCTATAATGACCGGGCGCTCTATTCGGGTGAAGACGGTACAGGGACGACAGTGGGAAATAGGAAGGAGAAAGGGACACAGAGAGTTGGTACGTGTGTGTATTAAGCAACTCACCAAATCGAGAATCGTATAGCTTTGCAGGGGCAGAGACACTCCTGGCATCAACAACTTCTGCTGATGAAGGTTGTCATTGTATCTAGACTGAAAGTTGCCCCTAATACAGCTTTAAATGACCGTGCATTCTATTCAAGGGAACACGGTAGGCAAAAGAAGAAAGGGTCAAAAAAAAAAAAGAAAAAAAAAAAGAAGGAACACGGTAGGCAAAAGAAGAAAGGGTCAAAAAAAAAAAAAAAAAAAATAAAGAAGAAAGGGAGACAGTTGGCACGTGTGTCCATCGTCCGTTACTCACCAAATCGAGAATCGAAGCTTTACGGGGGCCAGGCTCACTCCCAAAGTCACCCCCATCTGCTGACACAGGTGATGAAGTCGAAGTTGTTGACGCCATGTCTTCAGATCGGACGGCTTCAGCTTTCTCTTGAGAGCTCGACGTTCCAGCAGCAGATCCCGACATCGTTGATTTCTCTCAATAAAGCAAATAACTGTTGAAGAAAAAGATTTTGTCCCTTCTTTATGAGACAACTCAGTCGTTTCAGTGAAGGAGCAAGGCAGTTTCCACCAGTGATGTCGTCTGTCTGCTCACAAGCATCTTCTTTCAGACAGTCCACACGTAACCTTCTCTGGCTTAACAGAAAAAATCTGGAGGGTGAAGATGAGGGGAACGGATGAGGAGAGAGAGGAGACGAGCGGGAGGGTCAACGGGAACAAAGAAAAGAAAGCAAAGAGAGAACGGAGAGAAAGGAGAGGATGGGACAAAGAGATGAGGGATAGGTAAAGGGAGATAGACGAAAAGGGAGATGAGGAGATATGGGGAGGAAAGCAAGGTAGGGGAGATGGGAGATGGAGACATGGGGAGACGGGGAGATGGAAAGATGTGGCAATGGGGAATGGGTAGATGGCGAGATGGGAATATGCGGAGATGGGGAGGCAAATAGTGGAGGGAGATGGGGAGGGAGATGTAGAGGGAGACGAAGTGGGAGATAGAGTGGGGGATGGGGATGGGGATGGGAAAGACCATAGGGAGGGAGATCGTGGAGGGAGATGGGGAGGGAGATGAGGAGGGAGATAGGGTGCGAGATTGGGATGGGAAAGGAGATCGGGATGGCGAGGAAGATCGGGAAGGGAGACGGGGAGGGAGATGGGGATAGGAAGGGAGATTGGGATACAGACGGACATTGGGATCGGGAGAGAGAGAATGGGATCGGGAGGGAGATGGGGGGGGATGGGGAGGGAGATGAGGATGGGAAAGGAGATGGGGATGGCGAGGAAGATCGAGAAGGGAGATGGGGAGGGAGATGGGGAGGGAGATGGGGAGGGAGATGGGGATAGGAAGGGAGATTGGGATACAGACGGACATTGGGATCGGGAGAGAGAGATTGGGATCGGGAGGGAGATGGGGAGGGAAACGGGAAGATGGGGAGACAGGGAGACAGGGAGATGGGGAGATAGGGAGATCGGGAGATGGGGATAGAAGAGACTATGCGATGGGTATATGGAAGAGATGGAGCCAAAGAGGGAATGGAAGAGGATATGGAGAGAATCACAGCACGAAGAAGAAGAGGGGGGAAATGCAGACCGAAAGGAATGTCAGAAAGAGAAGCTTATGTTTTTAATTTCTTCTTAATTTTAAACGACCCAGCTTTTAAATTTGGTTGACAGAACAGTGCATGTCCGGCGTCTCTACACCTCCGGTCCCGCTCCATTTCCATCAGGATTAGAATTGGCACAAGCAAAGCCAGTACGGCTACGCCCGCACACATGGAAATATCAATGAGATATTCGGGGTCTGCATAAGTATCCATCTACAGTTCTCATGGGCGATAAGTCTCTCTCTCTCTCTCTCTCTCTCTCTCTCTCTCACACACACACACACACACACACACACACACTCGCACGCGCGCGCGCGCGGAGTGCAATCATTCTCATTCTGTCGCACAGAACAGCGAGTCTTTCCACGGTAGGCCCCAATGTCACGGCTATAGCAAAAAGAGTTGCAATACTACAATACAAAGAACGGAGAGAGAAAAAAAAAAGGAACCTCCTTCCCTCCTCCTCTCTCTCTCTCTCTCTCTCTCTCTCTCTCTCTCTCTCTCTCTCTCTCTCTCTCTCT